GTACTAAAAGTTGGATCTGCAACAACTTATCCTAAAACAGCTACCTCTACGGCTTCGTTTCTTACTGGATTTTGAATCTGCCGTTTTTTATTTTAAACAAATCTTGTTTATCGAAATTTTGAAATAAGTTCCAAAACGTACTTACGTTTAACCTGTTTGTTTGGGTGTCGCTCATTGAAAATTGTACAGGCAATGTTAGCAAATTCGTTATTTTTTAAATAACATCCAACAATTTCTACTCTCTCCTGAATAGAATAAACCATTTTTATGTTTTACTCGCTAATAGACTTGAATTGCTTGAAGTATCATTGACGCTAAACTAAAAAACAGACCTGGTAGTTATGGAAATAAAAACCTTTATTTTTATTTTACGAAAACATAGGCGTAGTAAGTTCAATTTTATTCCAAAGGTAATTATGCATTAATTTTTTAAATTTGGCTTTCACATTACAATACGCTTATTTGAACTGTCACATGTCACACAGTCAAATTCCTTATAAAATTACCTTTTCAATGATGTGTGACACTTAGTACTTTCCCTATTTCAATTTCATTGGTAATAGTGACAGAGGGGTGGGGAGGGATGTAGGATAGTTGAGGATATGATCGAAAGATGTCCCCTTTGAAATAAAAATGGACCTCTTTTTGCATTTTCTCAAAAAAAATGTATCTTCAAGATATGCGATCTGTTTCGTTTTCGGTGCCTCACCCTGTATGTAAATACCATGCTGGACAATAATGTTTTGATATGTGCTCAAAAGAAAAATATTTTATTTAGTGATAATCTGATAATGATAAACTGACAATCAGTGGCGGCTCGTGACCAAAATTTTGGGGGTCACAGTGACAGAATACAGATATCAGTACAGATATATGAAAAAAACTTTCTGTGTTTAATAAAGTTTACAATATACCTTCCTAAAACACTGACAGTTTTTTACCTATATCTGTACCGAAATCTATATTCTGCTACTGTGAACCCCCAAAATTTTGGTCACGAGCCGCCCCTGCTGACAATAATGAACTGACAATAATGTTTGTACAAATTAACTTGAATGTCTTAAAATGGTCAAACTAACAAAAGTATGACAGTCCTCTTGAGTAATTAAATCCCATTCATCTTGAACTTCTATAACCTTACTCCACTGCTCCTTGGTCCAATTTCTTCTTTCTTTACACCAAACCAATCGCCTTTTGTTTTTACGTGAATTATGGCAGTGGCCACTAAGAACGGAATATCATTTTTGTCGAATTTAATGTCTCTCAACTCAATTCTCGACAAGTTGTGATGAATGTACAAATTATTTTACATTTTTGCAACTGCAAGCTACAACTTATTTTCGGCATATTGGAAGAAACGACATGACCATGCAAAGACGATGTCTTCAAGGGTTTATTGAAATATTGAAAAGATATTAACAATGCTGCGAAATCAATCTCAAAAGACAGTTCAGAGTAGGCGTTTACGAAATCAGAGGCAGCAGAGGAGTTAAACTGCGTTTTTCATTGTTTTTTGGAGTAGTATTCTAAATCACATCAAAGCAATCAGTAAAAACAACAACAGGAAAACACAGATATTGGATTGTTTATCGTTTTGTACAAATTCCTAATTTAACTTATTGCATCTTCCGGTGAAAACTTTACAATCTATGAAGATGATGCTAAGGCTCTGATTGGTAAGCGGAAGTGCACCGCAAACGAAAAGTGGCATTTTGGTAAAAGCGACGATGATGTAAAAATTCTGTTCGGTACTAGGAATGATTTCAAAATAAACATTTTCCTTACAATAAAATTGTCGAAAATGTGCATACGAATAGTGTTCGAGATTTTCTACGTCGACTTTAAATTTCGCAAACGCTTTGTTGAAAAGATATTTCACCTCAGAGTAGCACTATAACAAAAACATGTAAATATCAACAATATGTGCAACTGGAATGGAGAACGGAATCGTTTGAATCAATGCTAGCAATTGTTATTACTTATGCTTAAAGTATGACCGAAAATAGATTGTACGATTTTGCAGTTTTATCAATTAATCTGATACTGAGGATTCGATTTCATTTGCGATGTGATTAAAATTTTCGTTAAGAAAATTAAGACGAATAGGACACTGACACTAAATAGCGCAGGACAAACTAGTGCTGGGTGACATTTTACCCAGCTCAAAATCAAAAGGCTTCTTCTCCTTATAGAGCTTGATGTTTGCTAAAAATTTTATGTTGATATCGATTTTCACATTAATTTAAGATTTTTTTTAATTTCAACTCATCTTAGCCCCCTATTTTAATTAGATTTTTTTTTAATCAATAGGCTTTATCCCCTTATAAAGCTTGATATTTGCTTAAAAATTTCAAGTTGATACCATTTTTCGATTTTGACTTATCGTGCAGTCAAAAAACGTGACATCAGACAGACGGGCAAAGTAAACATATAATACTCTTTACATACTACTGTGTGAAGAGTATGTTATATATGTTGGGAATGGGATCTTAATACACTGCGACCTAAAATATCTATTGTGTCCCCTTCTGTAACTAATGCAGCAAGACAATGTCTCAATGTCCATAACGACCCTTCAATTTTATCTTCTCAAGGAAGTGTAGGATTTGGAGTGGCTTCAAGTTAGGTAAATCTACCTCTTTTATTTGATATTCTTCTAGGTATAGTGCCCTTGGATTCTGGAGTGCTGCACATTCAGTTAGAATGTGAATGGAGGTTTCGTCCTCCCCCTTACAGAATCTGCATTCACTATCTTCTTCTACTACTCTCAGTTTACTAAGGTGCTCTCTTAGTCGGCAATGCCTAGTAAGAATCTATTTTCTGGAGAAAATGTCTGCCTCATCTTGTTAAGACGAGACAAGACAAGACGAGAAACGAGAATTTCTCGTCTCGAGGCATCAATAATACTCCTGAAAATGTCTCGACGAGCTGATTTTAAATGTATAACTTTCATAAAACTGCAGTATGTCGACATAGTTCAGTTTATCTCCCAGGTTCTAATATCGGTAAATGTTTAATTTAATCTTTATAATATAGGTACATACCTAACATAAATACAACGATTCAGTTTCTTGAATTAATTTAAGCCAGTGCACATTAATTTTTTTATTTCGTTTTTAAAAAAACTGTAATGCAAGTTTAGCTTCCATTTTTTTGTAGTTACAAGCGATATCATCATTTGAGTAAAAACTTTACGGCTACTGACACTGTTTATCAGTACCTCTAGCATTTATAAATAGAGCGTATTTCTGTACTTCAAAGTCATTAGGGACCACCTTCAAAATAAAACAATAATTATTCATTATAAAATTGTAGTACGGGAACGAAATCATCATTCTGTATCAATGATTAATGTAAAATACAAGATGAACTAACCGTCCAAATATATTTTCAAAAATGATCCAAATATGGAATAGAACCAGAAACAGTGAAACCAGATATTTAAAAATCGATTTAACTTTTTTTTTATTGAAAAGATACTTCTAAAACATATATCATATTGACAAATATAATCAAAACAATCAAGTTAACAAAATACATACTGAATGTTACAAAATAAAAATGTGATTCAGTTTTAACAATTGGAAAGATTCGTATGCCCCGCCCTAATTTGTGACGTTGTTTATGTACAATGCACAAAATACCGTGATTTAATTGATTTTAAGCAGGCACATTGTTTCACGGATCTGTTGGCCTCTCTTTTTAGCTGCAGGCTTTCGCAAATACATCTTGCTCCTTCGGACTCACTCAGAATAGTGTATCACGGAGACGCGATTAGCCAAAACGAGCGCAGTGGCGTACCAAAAAATACAAATTAACACGTATGAAAACAATAAAAATTATTAAATGTGAATTTATATTTTTATGTTATTTGTTTTAAAATAATGTGTTTTTATGAAATGTTCACTGCCCAAATGAAACAATGGAGAGACGGCCCCTGGTTCAAATGGAAAGAAGTACCTCGGTAACGGCAATTTATGCTACATTATTATGTCAGATCCATTATATTTGCGTCTTATAATACATACTTATATGTCTTTTACCGTTAGCCAATGTTTACTTCTCTCAATTAGTTTAATGAAACAACCTTCATTCTCGAAGTAATCCAATAAATCCAATAATTTAAAGTTTGAATAGAACTCTCTTTCAAATAAAGTTATTTAGACAATAGTACAATGTATGTGCCTCCATCTATAGGATAAAATAATTCAATTAATTGCTTTAATGAAGAGATTGAAAATTGATTTATGAGGTTCAGAAGTTCATTCTTATTGTTTATAAAAATCTATTTTTGGATTAAACAATGAAATTTCCGTTCATAATCAAACGTAACGCAGGCTATGTTGCTTATCATTTTTTTTTCTATATTTTTTAAATAGGCTTCTTACGTTTTTTTTTTAATTCCTTATTCAGCTCACTGATAAAACATTTACAACTTACTTACGAAATATAGCATAATAGCTGTTTTCTTGGAAGAGAAAATTCACAAAGAAGAAAAGAAATTTCGAGAACACTTATATCTGATGATATTGGACTACTTGGTAGATATACTCATGTAATTGAAAAACGATTTAATTTTTAGAAAGTTTTCCCTTTGATTTCAACTTTTATTTGCTGTTTCCCTTTACGTTAATAATTATTCATTACTAATAAGTAATAAATAAATTAATTTATAGACAGTGTGATATTCCATAATAACGAGTCTCCCTTTTTAACCGACTTCAAAAACGGAGGAGGTTCTCAATTCGTCGGTATATTTTTTATGTATGTTCAGCGATAATTCTTTAATACAGTGTCCGATTTCAATGATTCTTTTTTTTGTTAGAAAGATAGTACTTGAGGGGTGGAACCATATACATTTGGTTAAGATGTGGTGATGGCATATACACCATTTTGAAGTCGGGTTTTTTAGAATTACTTTTAATACTTGTAGATTATAATTTTTGTTAAATTGTATTTATTTTAGTACCTGTTAGATTACAATGTTTGTTTGTTCACAGCTGACTTTGCAACAGTATTCAAAAGAGGACTCATGTACAAGGGAATATATTGGCCAAGTCTGACAAACAGCTTCCATTCAAAACAATTAGAATTAGCATATTTAAGATATTCTCATAGACAAAGACAGAAAGCACTAATTATTGTGAATATTGTAGATCTTCTATTAAAGGTAAGAATATAAGTTTATCAATTTTTTTAACTTACAAGACTTTATTACAAATAAAATATGAAATATGCATCTGGTGGACGCCAGCTATACATATATCAGCCTCATAGATTTTGGTTTGGGTTTTTAAACAATGCTCTCTAGCTGTCACTGAGAAGCCAATAGAAACATGATTCATAATGCAGAAGGTTAAATAAATAAAGCTTTCAACAAACATAAAATCAGTTAACCCAAACCGGAGTTATCAACATTTAAAAATACAGTATTTTACATTTATTATAAGAGAGAATAAAAAGCCTCAAAATGCTTTATTTTTCATGATTGTTTAACATCGGCTTTACATATATTATATCCGGCGTTCTCACATATTTGGCCAATAGGTGCATGGGTGTTTGAGTGATGATGAAGGTGACAATGATGTTGATAATGCAGTTTCTTCTTAATATTTCTGTTATACCCCCTAAGTCTGATTTCGAGGTATAAAGCTTTTTCATCTGTTTCTTTATGTAGCAGTCCAGTTATCCATACAACTCCACGGTATGTTTAAAACATCAGCTTAACATTGAATACGTATTCATAAGTTTCTCTCTCTCATGCTCCATCTATCTAACTTAAATCTATGGATATTCCCAATAAAACTTGTGTGCGTATCTCTATCTTTATATCTGTAATCTGTGCAGGTGGGTTAACCACTAGGCCCATTGTGAATCCTCCTAAGTAAATAGGCTCCTCCTAGCTCGCGAGCCAGTCTACAGATTTAATGTAGTTTGTGGATAGCTGTTTGGTACTCAGACAACTGCACCGTATGTTAGCATCATAGGTATTATGATGGCTAAGTCCATCCGATGACTCTGGGGGAGTAACCCCAGGTGTGCCCCACGGTTCGGCGGCATTTTTCATAAGCAGTGTATGCTCTTTTGAGTTCCATGTTAACTAACTGTCAAATGTGAGACCCAGGTACTTCACCTGTGGAGTAAAGTTTAGCTTTGTTTTTAGGAGTTCCGGAGGTTTTTAATTCCATTTTCATCATTTTCTTTGGATTGATAGACAGTGAATGGTCCTTGTACCACTGCATTCTTCTATAATTTTGAGAGCTACTTGCATTCTTCCGCAAACTATGTTCTCAAAATTATATTTACAAAATGACCAGGTCATCTGCATACGCTATTTTAGAGTGACTGTCATTATTGAGGCAGCTGATGAGGGTTTTGAGGACCATGTTCCACATTAGAGGCAATAACGCTCCTTCCTGTTAACATCCTCTTGCAACCAAGCCTCTTATATTCACATCTTCTACACTTATGTTTTCTGCTTGCTTTGAGAGCTTGTTGTGTATTCACCCACGAACCATCTGTGGAACGTTCCTGTTATTTAGTGATTGTGTTATCTTGGAAAAAATTGGTTTTATCAAAAACACCTTCTATGCCTATAAAAACATTCAAGGCGAACTTTTTATTGTCCAGTGATCTGTCTATCTAGCAACTAGGTAAAGCGCTAAATCAGTAGATCTGCCTGGGGTGTAGGCAGGTTGATTTGGATGTATTAGTGTTGTTGTAATCGCCACATACCTTATGTACCTTTCGCATAGCTTTTTCAATGTATTCATGGAAAACGATGTCAGGCTAAACGGTATGTTTATGAGACAGTGTAATCAATCCTTCCAGGTTTGGGTATAAAGTCTATCTTTACATCCCTCCATTTTTGAGAGATATACCTCAGAGCCAACGAGATCTGAATATACTTAACAGGTGCGGTGTGGGTTATTCCAGACTCAACTGAAATAGGACTGGAAAGATACCGTCAGGTCCTGGTGAATTAATTGGAGAGAAGCTCTAATTTTGTCATCGTCTGCAATGTGTTTGGCAGTTTGCCAATCGTAGACAGATGGGTTGTATTCTTTTTCTGCCCAGTCGGTTACATCTGTGATGACCGAGTCAGGGAAGTGTTGACAGCAGAAGTTTGTTGCTATCTTTGAGGTTTGCAGTTTTCATGCCATCCTTTTTGTTAAGCGCATCAATACTGCGGTGTGGATCTCTTAAGAAAGCCTTCTTTAGCCTAACTACCTGCAAGAAATCTTCGATTTCTTTACAGTAGGATATCCTTGTGTGTGTATAAAAAAAGATGGCGAAGAGACAAGTTCGTTTGTTACAGATTTTTTAAGTATTCTTTCATTTACTTTCGCCATTCTTGTTATACGCTGCGCGACATCTTAATAATTGGGAATACAAACAGACCCTAGTTAGTAATGAAACAATTATTTTGAACTTTTGAACTTCATATTAGAGTGCAGTGGTAAATTGTATCCCGAGGATCAAGGTTCGATTTGTTTTCACCTTGATGCTGTGAAAATGGATTCCTTAGTTTTATAGGAGGAAATGGGATGTTGATTTTTAGATTTTCAAACCGTTATACCTTCGTTTTCAGATTATAACCGATTTTTCTCTTCTTTCCTCGTTTCCTCGTTGCCTTCATGTTTCCGGCATTTAACGTATATGAAAAGTTAACACAGGTAATCGTAGGAAAGATCTTAGGCCTTATTTAAATACATGCAATGCGTGGCGTCTTTCATAATGATACTGCATAGTGACTTAGAGGAAAATTGAGGGAGCTGGGCGGAAATATGTGGACCGACTAGATTCGGCAATTTATGTTTTCAATTTACCAATTCGATCATTGTAGCATTAAGCTCTGGTGGCCTAATTGTTCGATTTCTAGCTGGGGCACATTTTTTTCAGGTTAGGTTTTTTTTTATTTGTTTTTGTTTGTCTTTACCGTGGGGTTGTGAGAATAAATGCCTTAGTTTCGTAGAGGAATTGAGTTGCTAATTTTTATATTTACGAATTATTGCACCTTCGTTTTCAGATCCTCACAGCTTTTCGTCTCCCTTCTTTCAAAAATATGAATAACAGAACTATTAATAACAAACATATTATTAAGACTAAAAATAGTTGTGTATTATTTTCAGATTTGTTTGATATTGGTATGGGCATTGTACAATTCAAAAGTGAAGATAGACTGGGTATCAAATGCTGATACAATAATTTGGTCTGTATGTTGTATGTCAATAAATATTGCTGTATGTGTACTGGGTTGGTGGCGGTGTTTTGCTAACAACTACCTTCACTGGGCTGCTGTATGCACCTGGCTTCTTCTAACATTGCAAAGTAAGAATATGTTTTCCGAAAATATTTACCAGACTGACTGCAGTATTTTTTGACTTTTAACCAGTTGTTGGTAATCTAAATATGTATTACGTAAAATGTTATTAAGAGTTTAATTAATGCGTATTTTCTTAATAATTTCAATTTAGGTTATATTCACGCAAACAAGATATGTAGATTTGGAAAGACATAGGTACATTTATTTATACTTTCCTAAAAAGTGCGGAAAAATATTTGTCGCATGTGTTCGGAACAACATTTGTTCTGCAAATGTAAGGAAAATAAAAAGTATATATAACACAAACGTCTAATCAGATAACATGAGCGAACATTAATTCTATATATAAACCAAAATTTTCTTAAAAAACGTAAATAACTTGTCTAAAAATACAAATAAATATTCGAATATTCCGTTTCGCGCTATTAACTTCCGAAAATGAAGAAATCACTTTTCCGCACTAGTGCTGGAATGAATATCAGTTTTTTTTTAATAGAAGACTTTAGAAAGGAAATATCACAACTATTTCTCAAAATAAGCAAAATTAATAACTTTTAAACAAAGCTATGAGAAAAATACAACTTTGTATAGCAATTGAAACGATCCAAAAAATTATTAATAACTGTTCAGCAATAAGTAGAATTTGCAAATATAATTTGTATTTATTTGGATTGAGGTGAGATAGATTTGATAATCAAAATTGTGAGAAATTAAAAAGCAATTCATTTGCTTTTTTTATATTCTTTAAAATAGGAAGTACGTATAATTTCACTTAAAGCAACTACTCCAAATCATAACTTCATTGTGGTTAACAAAGATTCTAAAGGAAAATGTTCAGAATACGGTCTAGATCAAGCCGTTAATTTGTTATTGTTATAAACGTGCGCCGTATTCACAAATAATGTTTATAAAAAAAGAAAACGTTAAAAATTACCACAGAACCCTTAAACCCTTAAACCCCTAAACGACTCTGAAATAGATGCACCATTGAAATATTTGACTAAAAATTGTTCAATGAGGTGTAGTATTTTAATGATCACCAGAAGGCTTAAAAAAACTTTGTAGTTTGAAAATGTTAATGTCTGTCACAGGTCGGCGATGTTTTTTCTTAAATTATAGCAGCCTGTACCTTCCGTCTTATCGAATAGAGTTGTGGACTGTATTTTAATGTAAAAAGTCTTGATGTTTGATTAAAAAGCGTCTTTCTTCTAATGATAACTGATTTTATTTTATCTTCTTAAATTTTGAATTGAATAACCACATAACAAACAGTTGATTAATGAAAATCTTTTTACATAAAAATTTGAACACAAAACATACCGATTTAAAAAATATTTTATGAATGTATGTATGTATATAAAAAATGGTATGGTTTGTACCAAGATCTTAGAATATAGAGTAGTGGAAGGATGGTAGCACCAAGGTCAGTTAACCGGAATCGTTAACCAAGATGGCTACTTGACATTAGTATTAATCAGTAATGTATCATATTCATATTGTTTGAAAGTGTGATATTTTTATTAGATTAAAAATTCAATGAAAAAAAGTCTTTATAAAAGTGTATAATTATATTTTAGGATTTTTACAATTTATCAACATTATTTTTAATGAAAGAAAATGTAGTGTAATTGCACAAGATGTTGATGAATATCCTAGATACTTTCTTGCCCAAGGTGTTTCTAAATAGTCGTTCAACATTTTCTTTAATATTTCCAAAATATTCCACAGTTTCTTCTTCCTCCATAATCAATTTTTTTTGAGTTCCAGCATTATTTCCTTAATTTAATATTTTTGACTTCATTCTGTGCTTCCAAGTTTTGGATTCATCTTTTGAGCTTCTCTTTACGAGAGCAATCTGGAAGTTTCTCTTCTGACTCTATATGTATTGTTACGCAGGTTTTTGGTATATCAAATTTATTTCAACTAAACTTTAACAATAATTATACAACTGATAACATTAACATATAACGTCTATCATCAAACTGATAACTGACGTCAGGTCGTCGACTTATATAGCTCACCTCAACCTTCTAGAACCTTCTCGGACAATCCGGATTTTTCTTTGGCAAGGAATGACATTTCGAGACATTTCTGGAATATTTTATCTCCTTCATTTACCTTTACTTATGACGACAGTAGCACGCTGCAGGATGCTGCGTAACATTGCTCGCTCCTCTCTAGTTATTCGCCCCAAATAACTTGAATACTGGGACCTGGTTAGAGTTAACAGAAAGGATCTGGACTACGGCATGACGCTAACATCCCAATGTGAACTACCTTGAACTTACTTTCGGCCAGTTCCGTTAAGATTTTTGACAAAATGCTCCTCGGTGCTTGGGATTGCACAGCCATACAGGGTCGCCTCTCTCAAAATGTGTCCCTGTGGTACGCCTGTCGATTCTAGCTTCTGCTTTATCGCTGATAAATTTCAATCGTTCCCAAGCGAATCCGTAGACCTTTGTCCTGCCATTGCATATATCACATTTTTTACACCAATCCATTACATCCCTTAGACAATTGACCCAATAAAATCTTTCCCGAACTCGTGTCAGTCTTCTTTTAGTATCAAAATGTCCTCCGGAACGGCTACAATAAAGTTCCTCCACTACACTTCTGACACATGTGATTTTGGCAGTACCACTTGGCGGACTACATGTACTCCATCAGGGCTTTCCCACTTCCAGTGCAATAGACCATCGTGAAGATACAGGGTATCCCATTGAGTCCAGTACCCTTTAATAGCTCCACTGTATTTGGCTATCTCTTGCCAAGTAGGTGTAACTTTATTTTTGAGCCATTTTCGAACAACTTTCAAGTCATTGTCTTTCTTCTGTCCCTTTCTCAGGCTTTTAAGGGCGATTTCTTCTTCGTCGCCCAAGGAGTAACTTTATAAACCGGTCTCTCCCGTTCTCCGAGCCCCTTACTGTACCGGCATTCTCCTTCTAAACAGGGCCGCCTGGAGAGAATGTATGCGTTGCTATAGAGACGGTTTCTACGATGCTCTACTTCCTGATTATTGCTAGAAAGCCGGCTCGATGTGGTTGATTATCTTCTTCGGGACGCATAGCTGCTGTGACTACTTCCTTATGTCTCTGACTACGAACCTTTAGCTGGCTTTGAAATACCCGTTTCAAATGGTGCTGGCCATATCTTGTCTCCAAAGCTTTGATGAGAGATGAATAACTGGGTTCTTCTTGGGTAAGTAACTGTAAAACGGTTGCTGCCTGTCCTCGCAGCGACACTATCAATGAAGCCGTCACCTCTTTCTTGGTCCAGCCATTGGCTCTGGCTGCAACTTCAAATTGGAGTCGATACGTTTCCCATGTTGTTTGACCGTCAAACGTGGGTGGTTTAATGGTCTTGCTAGTATGGCATTGTAAAACTGGGTTTTGGATATGGCTTGGTTCGGTTAAATATGAGGATAAGGTAGTGTTTGCTGTTTCTCTGTTGTTTGCCAAAGCTAGGCTAAGAATTCTTCCTAATTCAACTAGTTCAGTTCTAACTTACCTTTCTAACTCTATTCTAGCCGTTTCTTGTTGTTTTAAATTAATTTTTATATTCTCTTGTTGTTGTGCTATGAGATCTATTCGACCGTTTAGTTGACCTACCTCTTGCCTAAGGTTTTCTTGAATTTGCAACAAACCATTTATAATCTCCACCTCCGCATTTCTATGCCTCTCCTCCATTTCTTCTCGTCTTTCCCTCTTCTCTTCTTCTCCTTCCTACGCCTTTCCTTTTCCTCCTCTTCTTCCTTCCTACGCCTTTCCTTTTCCTCCTCTTCTTCCTTTCTACGCCTTTCCTTTTCCTCTTCTCGCCTTACTCTCTCCTCTTAGATCTTCAAAAACCATGCTGGTGGCCTGAAGTATTCATGCCTGCTTCGTACTCAGTGGATCTAGTATTTACCATGAACTTCTACTTTGTATCCAACCGCTGTCACCAATGTTACGCAGGTTTTTGGTATCTCAAATTTATTTCAACTCAACTTTAACAATAATGATACAACTGATAGCATTAACATATAACGTCTATCATTAAACTGATAACGTGCTGCGTAACATTATATACAACATTGTTGACAAACAGAAAGTACAGGAAGAGCTAAAGAATCTTCATCACAGCCTTATATTTCTGTAGAAAAGGTACCTTAATTTCTAAAGATACATTCTGATTCCAATGCAACAGCACAATTCATAAACAAAAAAACAAATGGAAAAACTGACAACTACTAGGTACATAACCTACCTTTTTCTTACAAATGAGACATTCTTATTAATTCTTGGCCTTTTACAACATAACATATTTTGTAACCTTTTGTGTAACATTTATAATGCTTCAGAAACATTTTCAGTTAGATGTTTAACTAAAATATTTCAGAAACTTGTGCTTGAAATATTATGTTTGAAACGTTTGAAATATTTCTGAAACACTTCTAAAATATGTGCTGTAAGGGGAATTGGGCAATTTAGTTACTGATATTTAAAAAGATCCATAAGCTGCTAGGGTTTACATGTTCTTCTATCGATTTCAGAAATGATTTCATCAAAATAAAGACGAATAATTATTTGTTAATGGTTTAAGGAAACATAACTTCATTTATTTGAATTTACTAACCACAGTAAAGGTTTCCTTAAGAATGTACAGGTTGGTAAATATTTAAAGATGCTTCATGATAATGATGAAAATATTGCAGTTGGTCTGCGTCTAACCGCTAATTAAAAACTTTTGCTATACATTCTGGGGTCGCAGGGTAAAACTCCATAGGTGAAAGTTTATTTATATTGAGTTAAAATTAGAGTATCTAAGATAACTACCTAGACTGTCTTTGAGTAAAACGACCTAAGTTTCAAGACACCCCCTTAAAGAATAAAATAGTTGAAATATATCGCGGGTGTCAAATGTCGCTTCTTGATAATCGGTTATGAAACTGCTTAAGTAACTTTTGTTATCTTGAAACAAGAATCAATGCTTTAAGAAGGTTTACTTTGCCTCCACAGAATTGATTTTGGTATATAACAATAAATCAATGAACCTGTTTCAATGAAAATTTTTCATTTTTAGGTTTTATTGCACGAGGTGTTGGTTTCGGTATTAAAGAAGACTTGGTCTGGTATGTTCTGTTCAGCATCTTTGTACCGTACGCCATGTTACCGCTGCCTCTCCGATGGTGTATGATGGCTGGTGCGCTCGCTTCTGTCGGTCATATAATTGTTATTTCAGTTGCTTTTTATGGAAACACCGACAACGTTGTAAGTAATTTTAATTCTAATGTAGTTTTTAAATATTCATCCATCTTCTGAATATAAGCATCCAAGCAGCAGCTATCGTATTGCTCATTAAAACATCAATTATTTATTAGTGTTTATAATATATACTTCACTCATTACCATTAGCTGCACTTACTGTCTTATGAAATATTAATATTTATTTTCTTATGTATATTCGAATATATTAGAAAATATTTGAAAATATGAAGAACACGGTGAAAACAAATCAAAGACGCTAGTCTCGTTTTTTTTACCAAATATATTCATTATAATAATAATAATTTTAGAAATCAAACTAGTAAATAATCCAATGAGCAAAAATTTGGAAGAATTTCTTAGTGACTTATCTATCCCATTAGAGCGTAATTATTAAATATTGCAATTTGTGTTATAGACACGCAAACAAGCTTCAAATAAAAGTTATATGGATTTAAAAAAAAAATTGAAAATATTTTTGGACACAGGATGTTGCGTTTTTGCTTGGCAAATAAGAATGTGTAGGTATTTTTTAAATAGACCGCCCTGTATTTTATTACAGTTTTGAAATGGGTCGGTTTATTATTTTAGCATTACATTCCTTATAAATTTACGTATCCAACGATACAAACAGGTTAGCCAAAAACACATATACAGTGTGTTTCATTAGTTCGTAATTGATCGATAGCTGTTGTATTATTGGATATTCAAAAAAAAATTATTATAAAAGTTGTATGATCAAATTTAAGAATGATTCGTAAATATACAGGGTGGCCCATAAACGAGGGGCTGACAAAACCTATACTTCTTTATAGCAAAACATCCTGCAGGTAGTTATACATATTTGATTGTTTTCACATCGTCAAACAATTTTAATAGACTTCATTCATTTGCTGTTTTGTATATTGGGTGTATCAGAACGTGGCATTACGATATTGTCAATTTTTTTAAATAGAATACTGTGTATGTTATACCACCAATTAATTAATTAAACAGGGTATTCCATTTAAAAATTTAGAAAATCGTAAATTTACTTTTGCCACACCCTATATACAACATGACAAATAAATAAAATTGTTTGACTATATGAAACTAATTAAATATGTATTCTCTCTGTAGTACCCACACTCTCTGCTAGGCCTTATATTCATCCTTTGGAGATAATTGTTCGTTTTCCTGTGTTTGCATTTAACCAACTTCTTTACATCTTTTATTATCTGTTTTGTCCAATCTCTTTTACCTACTTGCTGCCGCCATTGTTCTTGCCATGTCTTCAAAGTTTGCGCTCTTTCTTCTTTCCTGGCTCGTCTTTTCTTGCTGTCGTCTCTTAAATGTAGCCTAAACCTTTCCTCCACTAGTAGGTTAATAGGGGTGATTCCTGTTATTACCTGCGTCGCTACTGCCGAGATTGTTCGGTACCCGCTGACTACTCTTATAAGTGCTCTTCTTTGTACAGCAATTAGCATATTTCTGTATTTGGCTTTTTTTATTATGTCTTTCCATACTGAGGTCGCGTAGAGTAGTACAGATTGTACCACCCCGTACAGTGCTATTCGTTTCTTACTTCCTGGGCCGCCAACATTTGGAATTAGTTTAGAGAGTGCCGTTAGCTTAGATTCAGCTTTTTCTACGGTATATTTTATATGCTTTCCGAATCCCATCCTGTCGTCTAGAGGGAATCCTAGATACCTCACCTGTCTGGTATGGTCAATTTCTATTCCAGAGATTATTACCTTAATTTCTTCTCTTTTGCTTGGGCCTTTTAAGATTATTATCTCAGATTTTGTGGAGCTAGTTGTAGTTTATTTGCTTCTATCCATCTCTCTATCCTATATAGTGATTCGTTAGTTGTATAAACTAACTCTTCCCTATCTGCAGCTCCCGTAATAACCTCAAGATCATTAGCAAAAGTCACTGTTATTACCCCTTCCATTAGCTGTATCCTTAGAATGCCATCATATAATACATTCCACAACGTGGGCCTAATACAGATCCCTGTTGTACTCCTGTGGTTAGTTCGATACACTCGTTTTCAACCCTTGTATATTTGTGACACCTGTAGGGTGTTCTGCTTTAAGAAAATATGGATTTGGTCAGCCTCTCATTTATACATCACCCCTTATATTTAACAATAATTCTTAAATAGGGTCATACAAGTTTTATATATATATATATATTTTTTTTCATATTTACAGTAATAGAACAGCTATCGATCAATTACGCACTAATAGGACACCCTATATAGTGGCCAACTTGTTAGTATCGTTGGATAGGAAAATTTATAAGGAATTTTATATTAAAATAATATACAGGGTGTTGTATTTGAAATACTTGACTAAATTGAACTTAAAATTGAGACATGTATAAAATAAACCAAATCTTACACCATTATTTGTTAGCTTAGTATCTTATGATTATGTATTTTTAAAAAGTCACTGGAAATCTTCCTAAATTATAATAATTTAATTTGGGGTCTACATCATTCTCCAATTTCATACAAAAATTAATTGCTTGGCAACACTGTAATTACTTTTTAAACACATTCTAGGGTTAAATACAGTATTAAAAAACAATTCTTAAGCTGAAATAAAATACAGGGTGTTTTATTTAAAAAATATACATTTTTATTTTCCAAGTAAAGATGCAACACCCTATATATATTTTTTAAATCCATATAACTTTTATTTAAAACTTGTTTGCATGTCTATAACACAAATTGAAATACTGAACAATTACGCACTAATAGGACATCCTATATAATGTTTTTAAGAGTGCTGAATACGCACGATATACCCACCTAAAGATAGGATGTTACCATTGAGGTAGTATTATAGGGAGACGCGATCACGTGGTCAAAAACGGCATCAGTCAAATAGCTGTCGCATTGTTGTGATTTCAATAATGTGATTTGTATGATCAAGTTTTCGTGCTTTTAATTGCTTTTTGTGTGATATTTAAATAATATAGTAAAATACAATAATTGTTTCATATGCTCTTCGTAACTGCAATAGCAGGAATGCAATTGATAAAAATTAATCAACAGGAATAACATTTCATGGGTTACTATACAAAATGATCACAATAAACAGGGTGGTATTTGAAAAATTCATTTTTATATTTTGCTTATTTAAATAGTTTTACGGTAATTATATCATATAAGTACCTAATTTTTTGTTAGAACATAAGAAACATGAATTTCAGTCGATTGTCTAGCATTATCCCCAATTTTTTTGCTTTTTAAACAGTTGGTAGAGCCACATCGTTAATTTTTATAGACACGTTAGAAGAAGCAGATCCTAAAAACATAACAGCTGATTTATCTGAATTAATCACCAAATTATGTTGGGTAGATACTTTCAGCGAGGCATTTAGATCAGTATTTATTTTCTGAGTGCATTCTGATTCATCGTTTTCGTTAAAAAACTATATGTACCTGCGTACCGTCAGCATACATATGATTTTTGTAATATTGTAAAACTGAACACAAATTGCTTGTATATATTGTATAAAAAAGAGGTCCAATGATTATACCTTGGGCTACTCCACATCCAACTTGCTCTGCGCTAGACGATACACCATTATATAATACTTTATGTGTTCTTCCTGACAGTTTAATCCTAGGTCAATAAAATGTAAAATTGATAAAAACAATTCGTGATTAATCATGTCGAATGATTTACTATAATTAATAAATCAACATTTCTGGAGTCGGATTCCTTCAAAAAGTAATAATGGTAAACAGTATACAGTATATTGTTTAGTATTGCCGCAATTATAATAAAATTAGCTTTCTATAAGATCATATTTGCGTTGGTTACACTCTTCTAAGCGGATACTGATTGGGGTGATATATCTTAAAGACTTTATCCCAAAAACTTAAATTTGTTAGGTCTCTTAAAACTTTTTGTTCTCATATAATTTCACGTCTTTACTTAGTTCCCCAACTTTATCTCCAAACTCTTTAATTCTACTCCTATTTTTCCCATTCGAATCAGATCAATATTAGCGCACTTCTCTTTTGGTCATGGTAAACTATATGTAATTTTCCCCATTTTCTCGTTTTTCACAGTCGAATCGGATCAATATTAGCTGAGATAGACATTAATGCTCTTTTGGCTTTATTACTGCGCATGATTTTTCTCTTAAACGTTTATCTATACTCGTTAACGTAAACGGTGGCCGCTATCTTGGATCGCTTAGCATTACATGACATCTCATTCTTGGACTAGTGTCGTTCTTAATAGGACTCTTCAGCAAGGAATAGACATTCTCAATACCAATGTCTAATACTCTAATGGAACTAGTATTTTCGTAAAATGCACTAGTATACAGAAGGTAGTGCCATCTACATTTAGTAAACAAAAGCTTGCTTATGATACTTAGTTCCAAAACTAGGTGCAGTAAAAGCCAAATTCAAATATAATCAAGTCATAAAAGAAAATGTTAAAGCCATATCAGAAAATAAATATCGTATTATTTGGAATCGAAAATGTCTATTTCTTGCTGATAAGTCCTAATACGGACAAAACCGTTTTAAAAATGACGTTCTTATAGTAAGCAAAATCAAACAAATCTAGATTGTTGAAATTAATTGTCCATATCTGCTGTTTTTTTTTGGGTAGTAGGAGTAGTTTTCCGGAGTAAATCCGTCGCGCTGCTCGTATTTTCTTATTTCTTTTCTAATATAATTATTCCTATCAACCTGTAACAAAAAGTTTCTTTCGGCATATTTTTAGGGCAATTTTAAGACTATATCTCGTATTTAAAATTACCTGCTTGTCTTCTGCGAATATTTTAATAATTTTAAAAATATTAATTATATTTCTTTCATTTAAACAAACTTAAAATCCGAAATTTTAATAATAGTTTTCTCTATTCTACTTTTTCAGTGTCGTTTCGATTCAGACTTATGCAAAATACGTCGGCTCTTAGCCAATGTCCTTTTGTACACTTGTGTAAACTTCGCTGGTATGTACACAAAATACTTAACGGACAGAAGTCAGAGAAAGGCGTTCTTGGAAACGCACAGATCCATGGAGACCAGATATAGGACGCAAAGCGAAAACGATAAACAAGAAAAATTGCTGTTGTCAGGTAAAACAACTTTTATTACTTACCTAAAAAGCTTTGTTAAACGCAATAAAATGTTTGTGTCTCTGAAAAATTGCCAAAAAAATGTATACGGCAGCATATTATGGAGCTGACAAGTAGGTTCCGAGTACAATTAGAAGAACATAGGTAGGGCAACATTTGGCAAAGTAATTAATTGGTTATCGCTGCCTACTGGGGGTTTAGTGGAGTGTTAATATTATCGAAATATACAAAATATTGCTTTATATCTAACAATTTATTAATTTTTTTATTTATTGATAGTTATAGATATGTATTCGAAGTAATGATTATGACGTAGCGGTGTTCTTCTAATTGTTATCGGATTCTGACAATGAATTTAATACATTCTCATTGACTCATTTTATTTATTACAATGTTAAATAGGTACATGAGTTTATAATAAAGCTTGTCTGGTATATCTAGAATGTGGCGGTCTTAAGCCGTGTATTCATCAAACCGAAGGAGCAAACACAAACAACTACGAGCAAGCCAGCATCGTATGACAGATATAGCAGAAGCCGCCAAGGTATTATGCGCAGTAGGGTAAGGGTGGAGAATCGCGGCCCCCTAAGCTATTTTTCAAATATTACCTTTAATTTTTCCAGAAAATTATTGGAAATCCTGCAAATCATGAACAAAACATGTATTACAAAAATAATTAGTGTGGTAAGTTATCTTACAAAAGCTATAATAGACTGAAGACCGATTTATAAATATATAATAATTCAAAAGATAATGCGTTATGCAAAACTTAGTTGTTCCAGTAATATCTGATGTAGATGATAAGAAATCTTCAAAAATAACATATCATCGGTAAGTGAATACAAAAAACAAACTCTAGAAAATTATTACCATCTAAAATAAAAATTTAAGTATTACATTGTTTGTATTTTTGGTATTTATAAAAATCTGATGTGTCCAACACATGACTATCCTATCTAGTTATTATAGGCTTTTTCCAGTTATTTTGTACAACTTATTGCAGCATCTCTACAAATGTTTAGAGGATAAACTAAATATATACATTGTTCACATACATCTACCTCGAAACATTTTTCTATAGATATTCATTGAAAACGAAAATCTGAAAAATTTAAAATTCCTACAATTTTTTCATTACGGTTCATTTTAGAAAAATCATGTATAAACAAAAATTATAGAGATCGATATCGCAAACAACTTTTAGTTCAACAATTTTCATAAAAATCAGATTTTGCACATTTTGTCAAATTTCTCGAATACGGACCATATCAGGAAATTTTGACTTAAAACAAAAATTATAGATAATAATATTAGAAGTAACTTTTATTTGAACAATTTTTTCCTCCAAAAATAAATAACAGATATATTCCATAAAATATAAAAACGGCCCTCCCATAAAGTACCCCTCCATATGTTCCGACTTTGTCCAAAATCTAATAATTTCACGTCAGGCTGAAATAAAACTTAAGTTTAAATTTTAATTTTTTTTATCCGTTCTTGAGTTTTCTTCAAATTTCAAAATTGACAATTTTCTTATATTTCTCGAATACGGTCCATTTTAGAGAAATTATGTATGGGATAAAAAATATAGAGAATTATATTACAAACAACTTTTATTTGAACAATTTTTATAAAAAAAATATTTTTTTTTACATTTTGTCAAATTTCTCAAATTTCTCAAATACGGACCATTTTAGGAAAATTTTGTATAGAACAAAAATTATAGATAATAATATAAGAAGTAACTTTTGTTTGAAGAATTTTCTTTTCCAAACGTAAATAACAGATATATTCCATAAAATATAAAAATGACCAATTATAAAGTACCCCCCCCCCCCCCCAGATGTTCCGACTCTGCTCAAAATTTAATCAGTTCATTGGACGCTGGAACAAAGCTTAACTTTAAAATTTGGTGTTTTTCTGTGTATTGGTTCATGAGTTATGCGACACACAGACACACACACGCAGGCACGCACGCACCCACACACACACACACACACAGACAGACACACATCGCGAAAATAGTCAAAACGGATTTAAGGGACCTCAAAACTTAAAAATCCGTCGAAAACTCAAGGTCGAAAAAAATCATGATTCCTATACTTTCCTTATATCTGTATACAGATAGGAAAGTAAAAAACATTTTCCCTTGCAAAATAATTTGTGTCATTTATTCGAGTATTTTCAAAACTTGTATTTCAATCAGCTTTGTTAATTAGACTTGAGAACTGGCTAAAGAAAATGTTTTTTACACATCTTGCCATAAATTATGTAGCTTGTGGTCAATAGAATATTATTTGTAAATAATTTTCAAGTTTACAAAAGATCCAAATTGAAAGTCTACAAAGTAAGCGTGCTTTTTTCCAAGAACTATTATTATGAATTACGTGATCTTGTTATTTTATCTATTTTTATAGTGTTTTAAGCTCTTATGATTTTGGGGAGTGGGTCAGGTTATTAAACAACTCGTATTACTTTAAAAAAGAATGTTGAGCGCCACTATATTTAAAACTTACTAAACTTGATTATCGATTAATGATAAAAATATAGAAAATCACTAACCATTAAGATATTATAATTAAATAAGGTTTCAGATAAGGCAGCGACAAATTCTAATTCACAGAGACTTACTTATTCAAATTTAAATGATTTATTATTAAAAGACTTATCTGTTTAATAATAGGTAGTATTTAAGGAGTGACTGTAGAGGCCTTCTTCAAGGCGATTCGTATGATATACTTCGGATATCACCAACTCTTAAGTATAAATCTTCCTAGGTAAACTTAAATCTTATAAACTTCTTTAGATGACTCGAACTAAACCTCTTGATATGCTTGAAATAAACTTCTGTAGCTGGAACTAAACTTCTAAGTTTCTATACTTCTAAACATGCAGCTGGAACGTTCTTCCAAACTTCTAAACAATCTCTTTAGATATAACTTCTACAGAACCATCTAGATACAGCCAGGCTACAAGGAAAAAGGTAAAAATATCAAGAGAGGTACTAGGAAGTTTATATAGGAAACAGATAATATGCTTCTTACTATTAAATATATACAATTTAAACTATCAAGTGAACAGTTTCACAGAGACCAAAATTAATAGGAATAGAAAAAGTCTTATTTAACACATTTAAAAATAGTAAAGCATAGTGTCTCTTTCCAAACAAAATAATATACAGGGTGGCTCACGCTCAACGGGACGGAGCTTTATGGGAAAACGACCAAAGATATAAAAAATTAGTTTGGGAGAAATACGTAGGTTACAGACGGCTACAATTTAAAATTTGTTAGATGTATACAGGATGTCCCACATAAGAGAAAATATACAAAGTTATATTATTTTTAATGGAACACCCTGTTTTTTATTTTAGAATTAAAAACTACATCAAAAATAATGTCAGTTAACTAAAAGTTCCCTATTACTATTATTATTAGTTTTCGATTTATTTGAATTTTTAAGGAAAAAAAAGTCTCCCAGAAATTAATTGTTTACTCTTGTTTGAATAATTTTTAATGAACTAATTTTTTTTTCTTCCCATAAAGCTCTGTCCCGTTGAGCGTGAGCCACCCTGTATAATATTATATAAAATGGATTATCATGTGTTATTTAATGTTGAGGTTATGTTTCAAATTCGACATTTTAATTAGAAATTCTTGCACAAAATATATATTTTCAACAAAATATCGGTAGGAAACTTACCTTTTTAAAATCAGACGGTCATTAAAAATAATAAAGACAATTAGTACATCGGATATCCAAGATAAAAGATAATTAAAATCAACTTGCTCGTTGACAGATATAAATCGAAATGAATTATCAACTTTTAACACAAGGCATAAACGACAAATGATATTAGGGTAGAGATGTTTGCGTCAAAATAACGAAAACGGTTCCGATCGTTACAATGTTTGGGTCTAAATAACGAAAACGGTTTCAACCGTTACAAGTTCTCCTTTGGTTTCGGTTTGTTTGAGGAGTAATGCCATTTCTACTCAGATATTATTTGCTGCTGTAACTTTACCCTGTATAAAGTTTCTCATTTTATTAGCATCATTTTGATCGTCTACCTGGTTTATTTTCTGTAAATTTTAGGTAATATTATAAGAATGATTAATTCATTCGCCCTGATATGTAATAAATTATATTAATCCGGTTGATATACTGCAAAAGTTCGTTTTATTTTATATGAATTGTTTCCATTTAAATACATTTAATAAACAGTAACATTTGTTTTTGTTCTTTAAATTTAATTTCCAATTGCTACAAACTTTCCCTTGGCTTAACTACGATTTACTCGAAAAATCTTCCAATGTACATCAATGAATATAATAATAAAATTGGTACTCGTAAGAATATAATTTGCAGCCACTATTTATATCTCGAGTCTTTTTTATTTGCAGAAGAAATCAGGTAACACTTTTATTAAATTTTTAAAATTAATTTCCTCAATTTATACTTTAACAAATTTTAAATATAATTGATAGGATTAACATTTAAATACATTACTGTTTCTATCACCACAGCTAGTTTGAAATAAGTTCCGCCATGTATCACACTGGCGCATATTGCGGCTGTTGTTATTTCTGTCCATCATCTGTACTCATACCACGATTATGAATGAAGAATACTGGATTGTTCTTACTTGTTCGTGTTTGCTCATTTAGTCAATACCAAGGATTTATGTATTTTATTAATGAATTTTTATTAATGTTTCGTTATCATATTGTCGCGTTTAGGGTTTTTTATGATTCCCTAAACGAGCTGAGGGGTTAATTGTAGCTAGATGGTAGAACTTTAATTAAATATAATATTAATTAAAATTATTTATTTACTAAGTAAATTGTCAAATTAAAAAAAATATTGATTACTAATAAAAATTAAACATTAACTACGTACTCACCAAGGGTACACCAATCTAAGAGGGATGGTGCTCATGTCGCTCTTTAAAACCCAAGTGATTATGTATTTCTAATATTTTATAAAGAAAGTTCGGATTC